AGTTCATAGAAGATTTTATATTAAGATTTCTAAACTCAAGTCTAACATTATTCATTTGTTCAACAAATGTTGTTCCCAGAGGTGGATGTATCTTGAAGATCATGAAATTTGGGGGCCCCTCACATGCATGAACTCGTTACAAGGCCCCAGGAGGTACCTTAGCAATGTGCTCACAATATGTTTGTAAAATTGGCAAAGGGTATTGATGTCTTCTTATTAACTACCCCTCCCAGTGTCTGCACCTCAGACCCCATAAATCCTAGATCCACTCCTAATGGAAACTACCCATCTAATGTCAAGCAGTTATTCGGGTCTTTTCCAGAGCCTGTGTGTGTCACACACGGCTTAGAACCAGTTCATTCCTGGGGATCTTGTTAAAATGTAGATTTTAATTCAGTCTACCTGCAGTGGGAATGCGAATTCTGAGGATGTCAAGCCAGAATGAACCAGTTTGAAGCAAATTAATGTACACTGACAGTGGGTTTGCTGCCTTGTCCCAATCCTGTTCATATACAGTCATTTATTTTTTCCCCACAAAGTTGAATTAAAATACTATACTTCTGCAGTCAATTGGAGGGCATTTGTATATGATACCTTTTATAGTGCCCATGTCTTTGATAGTAACAAATCTCAACATTTTCCCTTTAGTCTCCCTCATAAATTCCCATGGGATGAATTAAATGTAATCGCCTCTTGGCCCGTTCTGTGTTCTTCTCCTCGGGGGCTGGTTAGCTCAGTTGGTTACAGCCCGGTGCTAATAAGACCATGTGGACCTGCTAGCTTCCCTGTTCAATAGCCACAGTCTAAACTACAGCCAGCCGCCTCACAAGTGGTTGGTGTGCAGAGGGTAAATGAAATGAAGACAAAGTTTGGAGGACTCTGTAAAAATCTTGTTCTGCTATTGAGAAAAAAAATGAAGTGACAACAAACAAGAAAAGCTTAGCAACCTCATTTATAAAGGACGCCTTTTTCGCTAATCAAAACCATCCCCATGAAATACGAGTATTATTCAGCTATACCATGGGATCAGGATACATGATATTGAGTGGATGAACTTTGAAAACATTATGCTGAGTGAAGGAAGCCAGACACAAAAGGCCGCCTAGCGTTCCTGGTGACATAAACAGCTAACACATTAGGATGTTAACCAAAAGGTTGGCAGTTCATATCTACCCAGAGATTTCTCAGAAGAAAGGATTCCATACGTCTTCTAATATAGATGTGAAATGCCAGACCAAACAGAATGAAGATAACAGGTTGCTATATACTCCAGTGGAGCTCTGGTAGTGTAGTGGTTACGAATCGGGCTGCGAACCTTAAAGTCAGCAGTTCGAAAATACCTGCCACTCCACGAGAGAAAGATGAGGCTTTCTGCTCCCATAAAGATTTGCAGCCTTGGAAACCCTGTACAGGGTCGTTATGGGTCGGAACTGACTCAACAGCACTTAACAACAGCAACAACAAACTGTCAGAGGATACATTTCTGTTTCTTAAAGTCATCTACTAAGACAGGGGCCTTCCATCTCTGAGCTTCTATAGGAATGAATGACTAAACATTTTCTTTTATAGTATAGTAAACATTCACTAACAATCGGTTGGCTCAAGTATTTATGCCAGGAAAATAACACTGAACTTTACTAGCCCACCATAACACCTTCCATTAATTGATCATTTGCAAGCATTTCTACAGTATAAAAGGAAGTCCTTTCATTGTCATTATGATTACGTTTATGGACAACAGACTCCCTCCTGTACCATTCTCACAATCTTTGCTATGTTTGAGCACATTCTTCATGTTACTTAGATTCATGTTAGTGCAACTAAGACTCTAAGGGCTTCAGAATAGGTATTTTTTTGTTGTTAAGTGCCATCAAGTTGGCTTGTATAGGGTTTCCAAGAAGCAGCTGGTGGGTTTGAATCACTGGCCTTGTGGTTAGCAGTACATTGCTGATCTCACAGTGCCACACCAGGATGCTGCAGAATAGGTGGTGTTGTTAAGTGCTGTTGAGTCCGTTTTGACTCAGAGCAACCTGCTTAGGGTTTCTGAGGAGCGACTAGTAGGTTTGAACTACCAACCTTATGATTAGCAGTCCAGTGCCCATCCTACAGCAGGATTAAAGTTGTTTGTTATAGCTGAATCTGTAAGCTTGCAGGCTGTTTGAATGTTCGAATTCATGAAATTGAGTAGTTCACCTTGGGTGGAGGCGGCAGTGAGAAGACAGAATTGTCCATTAAAAGATAAGTAAGAAGCTCAGAATTGACTTGACAGCAGTGGGTTTGGTTGGGAGTTCATTTGTTTATGTTCCAGTGTTGGGAAGGGGAGAACTTAACTTGTTCTCTGTAGACAGTGTTATAGAATGAAATTCGGTGGTTCAAACCCACCAGCTGGTTGTCGAAAACCCTATACAGGGTTCCTATGAGCCAGAACCAACTCAAAGGCTCTTAATAACAACTACAACAACCATTAGAGATTCTTGCTGATATTGGGTTGGTCATGAAATGTTGACATGGTGGCTCTGTAGGATAAGCACTGCACTGTGAACTACAAGGTCGGTGGTTCAAGCTTACCAGCCACTCCTTAGGAAAAAGCATTCTTTTCCTGCAAAGATTTATAGCCTCGGAAACCCTATACAAGGTCGCTACAAGTCTGAACTGATTCGACAGCACTTAACAACAGCAACATGAAATGCTAACTTATACAAACTTTGCTGAATTGTTGAAGCATGCCTGGGTAGCTAGTTCTAAGACATGTCCATCTCATTACATCAAATAATGTTACAGCTAATTCCTGGAGCTTCATAGGTCATTCAATGGCATATCCTGATAACCTCCACCATCATAATTCTGAGTTAGGCTAGATCAGCCTCTGACTGTCCTCAAACCTTAAGTTACCTCCACTGACTACCCCATCATCTTTCTCAGTTCGAGCACCTGGTGTTGCCACCTTATCTTTTGGGTTTCTTGTCCAGCATACCTTCTCTACCCACTCTAGTGAGTCTTACCAGCTCTAGATTTTCCCTTTAGGACCAGATTCTTTCTTCCTTCTCAATGTGCCAATTAACTGATTTGAAAACTCATCGAAACTAGTATACTAACTAATTAGGTGAGCAATTAGAGGATCTTTTCTTTTCAAGTGTTGGTGGTGGCGTGCCGTGGAGTCAGTTCCTACTCAGAGCTACCCTGCATAGGGAGTCCAAGGCTATAAATCTTTACAGGAGCAGAAAGCCTCATCTTTCTCCCACAGAACGGCTGGTAGTTTCGAACAGCTGACCGACTTGTAACCACCGACTTGTAACCACCATGCTACCAGAGCTCCTTTCTTTTCAAGTAGAATGTAATTTGTAGCAAGGGCTTCTTGAAGCATACTGTCTGTGCTGTGAGAATTTCAAGTCAGACTGGAAGATAGGGTTTTGAAGATATACTGCCCCTCATTTCTTACTCCACAGCCTCCTATTCTAACTATATTTGGAGCTGTGCCTATTAATGTAATTAAGCAAATTCATTATATTTTGGGTGAAAGAAATAAAAAGAATACAAGAAAGAACACATGCTGTTAGTAATACACAGTTACACAGCAACGTACTAACCACCTTACAGAGTCACTACTAGAACTGCTTAATATAGCATGATTAAATGATTATGCTTATGTAATTTCATATTTTTACATTTGTTTTTTTAAAACGTATCAATGATATAAGTCATTCAATAAGTATCCAATACTATAGGGGAGAAAGAAAAGTATCAAAAGAATTATAACCACCTTGGGAAGAAAAGACAGCCACACATGGAACAAACTGGAAAATAGCACAGTAACATGCTGAATTATATAGTTACAGATAATAAAGGCAATGCATAGATCAGGCTTTTTGAGACAAGACCTTGAAAAATAAGAGAAACCAGTAATGACCTTTTGCATTTCTAAGACTTTTCTTCATAAGTTATGCTTTAGTTTGTGTTCTTGTTATCCTGTTATCTTATCTCTTCCGGCCTAGAAAGGATCCTTACAGTATTTCTGGGGCCTCCCTTTGAACTAAGAGTATCATCTGGCTCCCTAGATAAAGGCAAGGCCAGAAGGCCAGAAGTCATTTAGTTTGTGAAACAGGACCTCTAATTAAAATAATAATAATAAAGTGTAACAATAATGACCCTAACCATCTCATTTTCGAAACTACCAGCTGTTCCGCAGGAGAAAATGAGGCTTTCTGCTCCCGTAAAGATGTACAGCCTCGGAAACCCTGTACAGAGTCGCTATGAGTTGGAACTGACTCCACAGCACATTACAACAACAACAATTATATATATATATATTCTATTCCTTTTTAGAGTCCTGGTGTGGCACTGTAGGATAATGCACTGGACTGCAAAATTGGTTTGAACCACTAGGTCGGCAGTTCAAACTCACCAGCTGTTCCTCAGAAACCCTATACAGGATCGCTATGAGTCATTTCTGACTTGAAGGCACTGAACAACAACAACAATTTGTTGTTTGCCACAATTGGACGGTGGGCCAATTTGGGAAACAAGGGCAGTGTTTGGTGGGTAATTGTGATTGGATGGGCAGCCAACTAGTACTCATGGGAAAGAGGAGGCAAGAGGCTGGAAGGAAGGGGTCTTTGAAGACTACTTGAAATCTGCCTGCAAAGGCCAGGCCTGTTGAGTCATGGGGAGTTTTCCCTTTGTGTGAGATTGCTGATAACATGGTTTTTAGATTAAAAGGGGGTGCAGTAGACAGAAAAACCACACTTGGCACAGACTTCATTAATGAAACTTCATTTGACTAATTTATGACTGTTAAAATGGTATGGCGCATTTTCATCAGTTTACGTGTTGTTTTCAAAGGAACTCCTATGTAGGAATTAGTAGGAGGCTAAAAATTAAGCAGAAGAAACAATATCAATTTTGAACTGGCTTAGATTTTTCTGAAAGCATGCTGCCTTGTGTATTAACAGAAGAATCGGTTTGCCTCTAACACTTTCTCCCCTTCTCGTTTAACCCTATAGAATGCTTTTCCTGTGGCACCATCTCTTGCGCCAAATCCTACCATGGCGTTCAATCCTTACTTACCTCATCCTGGGATGGGCCTGTTTCCTGCCGAACTGATACCAAATACACCTATTCTGATTTCTGGAAACCCACCTCTCGCATTGCCAGGAGCTACGGGTCCAAAACTGATGCGTTCTGATAAACTGGAGGTATTTGTGTAGATCTATACATATATTTACAGGACTGTCAGAAATATTCACTGTATGCATAAATTATCATTCCTGAGGCCAGTGTTCTGAATATTTTCAATAATAACGTGTGTTTTTAGTTTATGAAGAATAATCTCAGATGAGCAGTAAACATTTTATTAGTGCAGTTATGCATTATTTTAGTTGTACAGTAGGTGACACAATGTCTTGGTGTACCCAGCCATAGACTGTCTAGCTCCTTTGTTACGGTATGGAAAGTTTGGGTGGCAATGGCTCTTGTACCCAGGTTTCGCTTTCACAGCATAGATCACTGTTTTCGTTCATGAGTCTACTTGCTGGAATAATCAAATTGAACAAAAGTAGAATAATCTAACTTTGTATGAATGCAGAATGTACGTCTATATGAACACAGACTATAAATTCCCCTCATAGTTTCTAAATCCTCTTATCCCAAGAAAGAAAACTCTAAATGAAATTTCAAATAGCTCTTTGCTTTATTGAAGTTTTTCAATGTTCCCTTAATTGTCATTCTTCATACATTGAAATGAATAGCTAGTCAATTTCTTGTAAAGTCAGCTCCATTGGCAGTCCCTTAAATACCTGGTAATGGGTCATAATTGTACGTGTACCATAGTCATGCTTCATAAGTCCACTGTGTAAAGCCATCTGTGCATAGCTCTAGGATAAACACTCATCTTGGACCTTAAAAATGTAACCCCTGCTTCAAATCTAGCTAATCAGCCTTTAGGTTGCATATTAAATGGATAATGAAAAACTTGTTTTCAAGATCTTTAAAAACTTTAATCTCAAGGTTAAGCAAACAGACCTCATTCATTTAGGGAAAATGTCCTATTTCTTTTTCCCTAGGAATAGAAACTTTGTCTTTGTTTACAACTCATAGCAAATATGGCTTTACATTATCCTTCATCTTTTTAGATTTTTCCTCAATAAATTGCCAAAAGAATGTAATAATAGTACTAGTACATTTGCTGGCAAAACGAAGAAAAGCAAACCATCAATATGCTGTGGCTTGTTCTGTTTGTGTCTTTCAGGTCTGCCGCGAGTTTCAGCGTGGCAACTGTACCCGTGGGGAGAGCGACTGCCGCTATGCCCACCCAACGGATGCCTCCATGATTGAGGCAAGTGACAACACTGTGACCGTCTGCATGGATTACATCAAAGGCCGATGCTCCCGGGAGAAATGCAAGTACTTTCATCCTCCCGCACACTTGCAAGCCAAACTCAAGGCAGCTCATCACCAGCTGAACCATTCCATTGGCACCACAATGGTAAGGATTGGTCCCACGGGTGGACCATTTGTTTTAGAGTAAATGAGTACTACATTCCCCAACTTGTCAAGCATCCTGTAACCATCATCTCAGATATCCATGAGTGGGTCTTAACATGAATAGTCAAGTGGATAATCTGGGAAAAAAAACAACAACCCAGAATCTATCAATTTGACTTTTAAAACAAATCTCTAAGATTTTCTAAAGTTAATTAGCTAACGGCTTAAATACTGATTTTAACCTATGGCAATCTTTCTCCCACGTTCAGAGAGAGGGTAAACGGTTATTTTCAGAGTAAATCATTTTGCAGTTGTTTTTATAGTCTTAACTAACCTGAGTGTCCGGAAGAAGTAGAAAACTGATTCTCTGCTCTCTAAGCTACCTATGGAAACTTGGCTAGTAACATCCTTAATGTCTTTCAGAAAGTTGGGACCGAAAGACAGGATGTTCAGGAGTTTTAATTTCCCACACTCTGAGGTTCTCTTTCCTTTCTATATTGGGGTGGGGAGTGGTTTCGAGGACAAAGGCAGCAACCTGCCAAGGTGTGAGTGGGGGGAGAAGGAAAGGATCAAGTGTTGTACATGGTTTACAGAAGGAAACTGAGTTGCCCCAGAAGACTGAACTGTAAAGGGTAGGGAAACCTTTTTGTAGCACCCCAGTGTGATAAAGGAGTCCCGGTAGCAAAGTGTGTTATGAGTTGGGCTGCAGTTTGAGGCCTCAGGAGAAAGATGAAGTTTTCTGCTCCCGTAAAGATTTATAGCCTCAGGAACCCTACACTGGGGCACTATGAGTCAAAACTGACTCCACGGCACACAACTACCACCTCCACCACCATAGTGTGAGAGGGAGCACTGGACTGGGAACCACAAGGTCAGCAGTTTGAGCCCACCAGCATCTCTGTGGGAGAAAAATGAGGCTCTCTGCTCCAGCAAAGAATTTTATTAAGCCTCAGAAACCCTAGATAGAGTGCCTATGAGTTGGAACCGACTCCAAAGCACTTAACAACAATGACAACAGTATGGTAGGTTGAGCAATCACAATTACAATTCCTTAATAGTCTGACACAGTTGTTGATTATTTTCATATGCTTTACTATATTTATTTGATTATTTTCATATGCTGATATACATTTGTTTACTTTACTACCCGTGCCCTTCCTATTGCTGTTAGGTTCCAACTTGTAACGATTTCCGAGGGGGAGCTGGTGGGTTTGAACCGTCCACCTTGCAGTTGGCTATCTGGTGCTTATCCTACAGGACCACAAGAGGAACTCTCCCTCGTGTAATTTGTTGTTGCTGTTGTTAAATGCCATCAAGTCGGTTCCGACTCATAAATGACCCTGTATAGGGTTTCCAAAGACTGGCTGGTTGGTTTGAGCTGCCAACCTTATGGATAGCAGTCCAGTGTTTATCTTGCAACCCCACATGAATAGGACTCTGGAAAAAAAGCCCACATGCCTGGAAGCCCAACAAATGCAGTGTTGAATAAAATCTCTTCATATGCAATTGAGTCGACCTTACCCTTCCACAAGAGAGATACTTTTATATTCATGCATCCATATTGGTTAAGAAGTTTCTCCTCATACTGAGTTGAATTTTATCTTCCTTTTACTGGAACTTCATAAACTAAGCCAATCCTTACTCCATATGAGACTGCCCTGTGTTTTCAAAAGGCCAACTACCCAAGTTTCTCAAACCTTTTCTTATACATCATGGTTTCAAGGACATAGTGCCTATTTTGAACTTGTTACACCTGCCTCCTCAGAACTAACTCTGTTACTTCAGAAAGAATGTTAGCATCAAAGGAGAACAAATGTATTATCTTCCTTGTGCTGGACAGCATACCTGCATTCATGAATCCTAGATTGTGTACTCAAGAGTGAAGAAAGTTACATTAAAAAAAAAAAGAAATTTCAGGACATTTTTGTTTTGTTTTGTTTTAAATTCTTTAGAATGGACAGAATTTTAAGCTATGCACATAACAAGGTATCCAAAATATTCCATGCAGAATTTAAGTCACAGATTTAAAAATTTTTATTACGTAAATTGGTGGTATAGAATTTTAAATAGGTGTGGACCTATTGATGAAGCAGAATGCAGTTGGTACCTCAGAAGAAACGGTTCTCATATGCATGGGATGTAGAAGAAATGACTTCCTGCACCATTGTGCACCTGCGACCATGCTCAGGCATAGCGCCTTCATATCTGTGGGCTGTTTTTTGATGATTCAGGAATGTTTAATAGAACACATACATTACAAGTCAACTCCAAGTTCCCGTTTAGAGAGCTAAATGCTATGCCTGTGGTTGGTATTTGTGAATATCAATATTAAATTTCTTCCAAAGAACTGATCCAAGTAGGGTCTTAGTGGTAAGGTCAAACTGGCACATAGAAATTTGTTTCTGGTAAAATTAAACAGAGGAGACTGAGAGGTAAATACTTAGTTCAACTGAAGTCTTTGGCAAGTTTGTAAGTTTGTAAAGGGGCTGTTTGAGGCCCTCCCCAGTGGTGATAAGCAAAATATTTAATAGTAGTACAGGTACCGCCCAGTCTGAACTGGGCAGTGATATATCAGAATGGACACCAGAATAAACAGAACTAGGCAACCAGTGTCTTAACAGTTAAGTATGCATATAGTATTCGTATAGGCCCTGTCTCAACTTACAGTTTGCTGACCAACACAACTTTGGCTCCGATGATCAAACTATATGTTCTGGTCTAGAGAAAGGGAACACCCTTTCACTTCATTAATACCAAAGGGACATACTCTTACTAGCCAGTTACACAGTATCCTGTCTTGCTCAGTTAAAATCTTAGGCAAAATAATTTTCCCTCAATGGTAATGAAGTTGTTAGAAAATATAAAGTATATTTAACGATTTGTTTTAGTCATGAACTTTACCATCTGGGCCTCATTTATAAATGTGAAAATTATGTATCGCTAAAGCTTACATTGGAGTCCCGGTGTGGTGCTGTGAGTTAAGGCGCCAGACTGCAAAGCCATTTGAACTGCAAGGTTGCGGTTCAAGCTCACCAGCTGCTCCTCGGAAACCCTATACAGGGTCGCTATGGGTCGGAACCGACTCGACGGCACTTAGCAACAACAACAAAAGCTTACATTGGACTTCTGGTGTAGCACTGTAAGATCAGCACTGGACTATGAACCTCAAGGTCGGCAGTTCAAGCCTACCAGCTGCTCCTCAGAATCCCTATACAGGGTGGCTATGAAATGGACCCAGCTCAGCGGCACTCAACAACAAAAAAGCTTACATTGTGGAGTCCTGGTGTGGCTCTGTTGGCCAAGCATTGGGCTGCTAACCACAAGGTTGGTGGCTCAAAGCTACCAGTCACTCCTCGGAAACTCTATACAGGGTCGCTATGGGTCGAAACTGACTCCACAACAACAAAGCTTGCATGGTTTGCTTGGTTCTACTTTTCTAGCATTCCTGTTTTAAGAGAAATAAAGAAGAGAACCATCACAAGGTGTGCATGGGCGCGAGTTCCCGGAAGAAAATAGAGTTGAGCTACCTCCGGGCTCATTTGTTGTTCACGAGGAGAAGGAGGCCCACAGCATGCCACTTTGGGGCATGTGGAAGGCTTGTTACTCCTCAGAACAAGTATTCCTTAGGAATCTGGTGCATAATGAATTGTGTTGCTGGGATATGTTTTTTAAGTAATGTATAATTTACTGGGAAAAAATTTTCAAAAGTAATATTAAACTTCTCCAAGGAATCTGTTCCAGGGACAAGTTTGATTGCGTATTAGAAGCACTGTGGGGTTTTTAAAGAACTGTAGACATGAAAAAGGATTGCAAAGTGCTAACAGGTTTTCAAATTAAACCTTACAAGGAGTTAACAAAGCAAATTGTACAAAATGCACAGCAAGAATCTCTAAATGTGAATTGCGTACATTTTCCTCACCATCTCTCATTCCTCGTAAGAGTAATGAGTGAGGGATGTCTCATTTGCTTTCTCCTTACATGTTACTGTGGAAATATAGGATCTGTTTTATCATCTCTTGGTACGGTGCTATAGGATAAGCACTGGCCTGCTAACCACAAGATCGGCAGTTCAAACTCACCATGCGCTCTTCGGAAACCCTATACAGGGTGGCATTGAGTTGGAACTGACTCCAATGCACTTAGGAACAACAACAATAGTAAGCTTATTTATATAGGAGATCAATGTAAACCATGTATCTCCTTGACCTACATGCAGCATTTTAACTGGCAGACGTCTTTTTCCTGCTTTATCGATTGCTTTTGCTAATCTCATTTGCATTGACTAATAGATGAGCATTCCTGAGATGTCAATTTTAAGTGATTATGTCTTGTAGCAGCTTTTTGTCACTTCCTGCCTTAAGGGAACTTGTGGTTGTTGTTGTTATGTGCCATGGAGTCAGTTCCAACTCATAGTGACCCTGTACAGGGTTTCCGAGGCTGTAAATCTTTACAGGAGCAGAAAGCCTCATCTTTCTCCCATGGAACAGCTGGTAGTTTTGAGCTGCTGACCTTGCGGTTCGCAGCTACTACGCTACCAGAGCTCCATAACTGGTCCATACTTATTTACCTGAATTAGTGACATTGCAAAGCTTTATTTTTTCTTGTATTATTATCATGGTTTTTAAATTTTCTGAGGCTTTGCTTGCTCTGTTTAGGACTAAAAACCCATCTAATGAACTGCTTAATCTTTGTGTTAGTTACCTGGCTGTGGCAGCCACTGCTTACTGAATGTCTTGCTCAAATGGCAACCCTTGCAGATTGCTATTCATTATATAACTCATGTAATTAGGGCTTGCATGGTTTGCATATGTTTTTTGAAACTTTGCTTCATGCTCTGCGTTTTTCATCCTTCTCCCACAGGCCCTACAGCCTGGTGCACTTCAACTGATACCAAAGAGACCAGCAATTGATAAGACCAATGGTGCCACTGCAATTTTTAATCCCAGTGTTTTCCACTGCCAACAGGCTGTGGCTAACCTGCCTCTTCCCCAGCCGGCATTTATCCCGGCAGGTAAGACCAGGGCTCTAAGTGATGTGAGTTTAGTGCTGCAGTGAATGTATAGAAGGCAAAACAGCACTCACAGAACTTTTATGGGAAGACCATCAATAGGTATTGAAATTATAAATAAAGCAAGCAATTATACCTGATCTGCTAGTATGTAGAACAACTTATTTTTCTGTAATTCCTCAGAATGAAGGGTTGGATATCAAAGTAGGAAAAGTTGTCATTTTCATTTTTAGCATGGCTTATTTATTTATTTATGCTTTTTGTGACTGATTCACTTGGTTCTATCTCAAACTAATTCCTGGACTCATAGGGGTCACTGTTAGAGAGTCTTCTATCATAAAAGTGCTTCCCAGCTTCCACCCTGCAAAAATATGTAGCCTGTATATACTTGATAAACCACAGGTCGTTATAACAAAACTGCCTTCAACTTTACATTACATCATAGTTTAATATGAGGAGCCTGGGCAGCACAAGTGGTGTGTGATTGGCAGCTAACCCAAATATTGACAATTAAGGTTTTTTGTTTTTATCTTCCCCTAAGGAGCTCTGGTAGCATAGTGGTTACGAATTGGGCTGTGAACCTTAAGGTCAGCAGTTCGAAACTATCAGCCACTCCATGGGAGAAAGATGGGGTTTTCTGCTCCCGTAAAGATTTACAGCCTCAGAAACCCTGTACAGGGTCGCTATGGGTCAGAACTGACTTGACAACACTTGACAACACTTAACAACAATAACCTAAGGGGAAGAAAAAGCAGAAAAACATAATGTTCACAGAAAAAAATGGGAAAAAATATATGGGTTAAGGTGTTTTTATTTCTGGTGCTTTTTTCTTCAGAAATGGGGTCAATTTACCTGCACGTTAGATCAGTCCATCTTGGATACTTCTAATTTGTCTAGTAGCTGGGGAATGAATTCAGTACCTCACGAAGGTCAGCCAAGGTTGATGAATGGACTACATACAAAATTTGCATTACTCATTTTGGATTTTCTTAATTGTGTAGTTATTTTGTTTGGAAGTTAGATTTTTGTGTGTGTTTATGTGCTAGATTTGGCCTATTGAAAGTCTAGATTTATAAGCAAAAATCTCAGAGGAATCTCCTTACCCATAAGTATGGCAAGCTCAAAACCTGTCTGACTGAAAGTACCCTTTTAATCAAAAGCCTGTTTTTCATATCTTATAGTCAAGCCCTTGCTTACAACAAAGTAAGACAGGTAGTGTTAATAGATTAATACCCAAAATAAAAATATTGACACCAGATATCAGCCCCATGGTGTATATTTTGATAATAATATATGTAATCAATTAAACATGTTTGTTCCTCTGATAAAAATCAGTAAGGATCTATTAATCCAAAATAAAAATGTAACTTTAGTATGGTAATGTTGAAGAAATATTAAAGATCATTTTGAAACCTAAGAATCCAATAATTACTTTGATTACTTGGGTACGTGATCTTAAAGCTAATCATGATCATAAGCATAGGAGATTATTGAATTTGCATGTGCTGGTGACTTAATATTGCCAATAAAATATCTTTCTAGTTAAAAATCATTTCTGCCAAGAAAGCTTTAATAATGAATTCTCTCTTTTCTTTGCTTTTCACGCTTTTCTGCATGATGTACAGGGCCAATACTGTGCATGGCACCCACTCCAAGTATTGGTAGGTTTTTCAACACAAATTCTCAACTATATCTAATCTGACAAAAAAGTGTTTTTCTGTTGTGAATGTTAAAGAGCCGAATGAGTGAATAATGTATATGCACATTTTTTGATTCTTTAAGGTTTCATATGGTAAAAATATTTAATGTCTTTGTGAAAATCAAAATAGTACTACTGTCCTGAATCTCAGTTGGTTGTCACTGTGACCCTGCTACTTCTTTATTTCTACCATGAAAAAAGCAACTTAAATAGCCTGAAATATTTCCTTACTAGTCAAACTGGGCAATTATGTTCAGAGATTAACAACTATTATTTCAAAAACATAAAACAGTTCTGATTGATCATTTGTAGAGTACAATATAGTAATTCTTCACACACACACAAAGTTGTCTGTAAGACTTAAATCCTTCAGTACTCAGATGTTGAATAAGGAAGCCTTGAGCAAAGATAAGAGAATTTATAGTGTTATATGAGCCTAAAAGGAAGTACCTTTCTTCCCAGAAACCAGGCATAACAGAATTTCAAAATGATGTTTTAGGGAGTAAGCTAGTCACCAACACAATATGATAACTAGCCATTTCTAAGCTATTTTCTAGATCACTAATCCTGAAGAGGAGTCCTGGTGTGGCACTGGAGGATAAGTGCAGGGTCACAATGAGTTGGAACTGACTTGACAACACTTAACAACAAAATAACAAAAAATACTGACGATGATAAAAATGACTGCTTCTATCTCAAGAGAACTCATGGGGAGACCACAGCTCCTATAGTTCTCATGGTCAGCAGATAAAGACCAGAAAAAAATAGCTCTGGTGTTCATGCAGGCATGAATGGCTCCATCCGTCCCAACTATCACATTTCAGTTCTCCTACCCCCATCCTTTTTTAGAGTTTGCAGCAGCTTGACCTCCATCCCATAGGTGGATCAGACAGTAGATGCAGAGGTCAATAGTGACTAGCTTTTCCGTTGCTACTAAAAGTAGCATTATATGCGTACGATTAGAAGAGCAGGCTTCTGCAAGTTTATGTAATGTGTCTGTTTTCCCACTTTATGGCTGTTTTTCTCCTGGATGTTCCCATTTCCTTTCAACTCATTGCCCTGTTTAGGAATGCAATATGCATGCTTTGGTAGTGCTGCTTCCTGTCCAGTTGCTGTGTGCTCAAAGGGGAAACAGGGATGTTTCTAGAATTGGCATGTGAGGCAATAAAGGGTGGCTATAGGTAGTGGCTATCTGGAGATAAACACGAGATAACTAGAGTTTCTGGTAGTCACCATTTGGGATTATCCTTGCTGACTTTCCTTTCCAGTCCATTCGTTTTCCCTGTAGATTTCAGAACATTTGAATTCAGCAGATGCCAACATAAGAAAACATTATATATGAATGCTTGCCATTCACACATCAATTCTTGCTCTGCTTTCCAAAGTAAGCTAGAAACTAGATACACTTTTGACAGCAAACAGAAAACATCCTGAAAGAGATGTTGCAGCTGCTAGCCATTGTAGCTGTGATATTTGCTATGAAGACAAAATTTTGTTGCCTATCCATTATGAAATGGTACTTGTATTTGATTGATAAATAGTCAAAGTTTCCAAGGAGGTTGTCAGAGGTGTACTTAAAACCTGCAAGCACTATGTTCTTCATATCTGTTTCCCTACCACATGCCCACCAATCAAACAATCCATTTTTTATATGCAGAACTGGTAAGTAGTCATATGTACCTCAAATACAATGTGTACCTCAAATCGAGTGAAAGTCCTCATGTCCATAAGTCAGTGCACCCAAACATCAATTCACAAGGTCACTGCCAGTCTAATTCTAGTTTGAATGTGTAAACCAGTTACTTGTCTGCTTACATAGCTGTTCATATCTGATAAAATCAGATTTTTTCATAGGCACCAATTGTTACACCTTCTGTAAATTTGACCTTTTTGATGCATATATATATATGTGTGTGTGTATGTGTATATACACATTTGACAATTCAACATCTTTTACAAGTACTATTCAATGATACCTATTGCATTAATTAATTAATCATCACCAGTATCCACTGTCAAATTTTCCATCACTGATATTCACTGCTTCTTAAACAATGACACCTCTTTCTCCATCACTTACAACTCGCCCCTAATAACCACTAATAAATTTTGTCTATACACATTTGACTAGTCCAGATATCCCATGTAAGTGAGATTATACAATATTCATCCTTTTGTGATTGATTTCACTAAGTGTAATGCTTTCAAGATTCATCCATGTTGTAACATTGAATCCACTATGTTTTGATTCTGCTCAAAAACTTACTAAATGTTGACAATGGTTTTGTTTCCATTAATGGTAACTATAATTGGCTTTTCCCCTTTTCTCTTTTTAAATTCTTCTCCCTTCCATGTTGTGTTGCTTTGCACTGACTGTGATTGCATGTTGCACCCTGGTGTATCCATCATGATGATGTCACGTGGCTTGTTGCCCCATTTGATCGTATACGGTTGCATAAACACTCCACCTTCCCGTGTATTCTTCCATGATTTCCTACTGAAAGTGCCCATGATGCACGGTGCTACACCTACCACTGTGTCTGCAGCAGCAACACCTGCCACCAGCATCCCCTTCGCTGCACCAACCACAGGCAATCAGGTTTGACCATTTATTTCACCTGTTCAGACCTAGATAACTACAGTGTTTGTAAGACACTGTATATGCTTTGGGAATTGGTGAGACACATTAATTCATATTCGTATGTGTTTCTTTAACAATAGTCAAATTCAGCAGCTTTATTTTGTGTGTGTAGTCATGGTATGGCACTGTAGGATAAGCAGCGAACTGCTAACCACAAAGTTGGTGGTTGAAACCCACCAGCCACTCCTTGGAAACCCTATACGTGGTTGCTATGAGTTGGAAATAACTCAATGGCACTTAACAACTGAACAACACTTTTGTGTATATTATAAAATGCTGTGTGTGATCGAGGATCCATCAGGAGATTTTACCTCATTTTTAATCAGTTACCAGATGTTGTTCTTGGTACACTATATAAAATTGTTGCTGTCACACCAATCCTCAAATGTATATACTAAGCATGTCTTAAATGTTTCCTCATTGGTCAAGAGGAGAATGTTTTATTTTACTACAATTTGTTTATTGTGTTTGGAATTGCACTTGGTACAATCATCATCTTTACCTAAAGATCCACTGGGAAGAAAGCGAGATTCCACATTTCTTCCTAAGGTGTTAATATCCATATCATTAACCAGCGATTGCATCAGAAATTCCTTTTCGTACTGACATTGGATGTGTTTGTGTTGTTTTTATTTTCATTAATGTTTGATGTTTCTAGTCAGATTCAAGATGGAAACTGTAAATTTGAGGGAGTCTTGAAATTCTAAGGAGATGCGTACAATAATTATTGTCTACTTTTATGGCCATTGGTGCCTTTATCAAAGTGTGTCAGTCATGCTTGCAGACTGGGAGTTCCACTGGTCTTTACTTTATATTTCAAAGTATAATAGCCATGTATCATACAGATCATTAATTCATTGGAACAAACCACATTCTAGTCTGTGCTTTGTAAAATCAGCTCTCAGTGGAAATGGTCAATATGTCTAAATTTTTCGATGAAGTACAGTTATTGACTACCACATCCAAGCAGTGAGCAAAATAAGTCAAATTCTATCAAGAAACTATTTTAATCTAAAATCTTTTTTACTACTATAGATAACCCAGTTATCAATAGATGAACTGAATAGCAGCATGTTTCTTTCACACATGTAGAAGTTACCAGTAGAACAGTAAGTTTATTTAAATATTAATAAAAATAAAACTTATTAGTTGTATTTACATAATTACATTTGCTAAAGGTGTTGCTAAATATTTTCATTAACGGGCACTACTCATAATTGTGAGCCTGATGCAAACATTCTAAATTGTCCAAATTGAAATGTGAAGAGCACATATGCGATTTGTATATGGAAAGAACATCTGGTACTGTATTTTCCCAATGAGCTTACAAATTCTGAAATGGTTTCCTATTATTAAAGGGATATGATTTGCTTATCAAAGGGACAGATCACTTTTGAATTTGAATTCTTTAACACTTTTGTTGATTCCTTGTTTTTTTATTGAAGTCAAGCCAAGTGATTTTGCTAGGATATGATTGAGATGATTGCCTTAAAGTAAGTGACATGCTTCCCCTTATGACATGCTGTTTTGTGTTGCTTCTCCAATAAGTCTATCAGAATTGTTCCAGCTGTTTTCAGTTTTGAGTGATATAATTTTGTAACTTACCAGCCATTTGTTTCATACGGACCATGTTTTCCATTCTTTGTTGTGGTGGTGGTTGGATTTTTGTCACCTTCACCCTGGTTCTCCTCTTTGCCTTGTGCAAAGCCGATAGTAGCATACACTTCATGTCAACAGTTGGTCGTTTGGAACACATGACTATTGAGGCACTTCAGACTCTTGGGTATCTTATGAATGATCACATACACAGACCCATTCTGAATTGCACACATCAGTTATTGACAACTTGGAGTTCGCACACCCCGAGTGTTTCATTTGGTTGACGGAGACAACTAGTCCTGATGGACTAGTTCTTCAGATCCCAGCTAACATTTTTTCCTCTGGGGTACTCACAGGTCTTAAACACTAAATGTTACTGAGCCTATAGTGGCTGTGCAGCAAATAGGTCCCCTCAATCATAAGGAACACTTTTAAAAAGTACCTTTTGGTATGTGGAAGGACTAAAGTAGCTGTAAATTGAAATACTTTTCAGGGGTGTCTTTAGGGATAGTGGCAACTTGAAAATATCACCAAACATGAGGATGTAGGTTTTGAAAACACTTGTCCAGTTCTCATGGGCTGCTTCACACCAAGGTAAACAAAAGCTGTCAAATATAATCAACTTTCCAACAGAACATGTTTGGGAATAGTAATTCCTGTTTGCTTGATTCCATTTGAAAAATTTAGATGTATTTGGCAGAACATGATTACTTCAATGTGTAACAGATGTTAAAAATGTCTCCAAAGTTCAAATATGTGATTTTGCACAGTACTACAAGTCCCTGACTTAGTTGGTTCTGACTTAGGTTGGATAAATTTTATTTTATTTCATTAGAATTGCCTATGATCAGTATCTTTATCAATCCAATCTTGATTTGTCTGTAGGAGTTGGAAACATTACACATAAGCTTACAGATATATTTTAATGCGTGTATAAAAAAACATGCACATCATTAAAAATATCAAAGAATGGTCATAAATACAGTTTATTGTAACTCAAATATGTCAGAAGTCGGGCACTACCTGTATCGAGATTGCGCATGGCTCCAAAGCATTCAGATAAGAAATTTAAAGTTCATTACATACTTGCATATTTCAAATTGCTGGGTATCAAATATGTTTCCTCAGTATATACTTATTGAAGGAAGAGGATGGATGGTGAATGTTCATCAAAATATTTTAGCATTGTGTTGACATGACCTTAAAAATAATGAGTGCAACTCTGCTAACTTAGGGAAATTCCAGTGAAAACCATACGCTATCATGGCTCTTAGCGGTCATTTCTAATAGGCTCATTTTTGCAGATATAGAATCTGAAATTTAAATGGAGAATATCTTCACATATTTTACACACAGAACTGGGACAAGAACCACAGTAACCTGCTCCTGTTTCAAGAGCCCTTCAGTTTTTCTCATTTTGTTTCTTTTTTTCCATTTCAGTTGAAATTCTGAACAGCAGAGTTACGGAATATCGGAATCTCTCCTTGAGAAGCTCCATATGGCCTTTCTATATATATTCTCGTATGTCCTCTTCTACCAACTCAACAATAAGTGTGGTGCAGTCAATATATTAACCAAAACAAGCAAATAACCAATCAAAATAAAAATCAACATTCAAATCAATGGAGATGTTAAAACACAAATAGAAAATTACCATCTATCTTATTTGAATATCAGGTAGATTGTGGTCATTAAAATTTGCAAATTGTTATGTTACCCCTACTCACTTTCCAACAACTTTTGTGCTGTGTGCAGTCGTCATAGCAGACTGTTGTTGGTTTATCATTGTACATTTTTGATGGAAAATTATTTGTCTGATTTTGAAGTGTTACTGTTTCGTTTACATGATCGTCTATTGGGTTGATTTAGAAGTATCGAATGTATCCAATACCATTTCCCCCATTATTGTATTGAATTGTACTGTGTCAGGGTTTTACATTCTATTTAGTGTGTTACTCTCTATACGTGGTGTTTATTTCAACTAAAATGTAATTGATGGAAAACAAATCTGTGCTGGAAAAACATGACAGGTTAATGTTACTAGCGCTCTCTCTTTAGTATATTTCTATAGCTTTCTTGGGGCAGACATTTAAAGGGTCTCACTTTCTGAGTGTGTACAACTGTTCACACACATGCATGTATATCATTTGAACCCTGCACATCTAACTTGGCAACATAGAATCACACTACTACTTTTTTTTTTTTTTTGCAAGAGAAGTATTTACCTGTACAAAACAGTGTAAGTCTTAAAATACCAACCTCTAAATGTATTGCTTTTAAATTGCTCCCTGATAAATAAGACATTACCTTTGAACCAATTTCTCAGCACTTATCCTAAAATTAAGCAAATAGTGCATAACTTTTTTGTGTGTGGATCAAGGATTCTACCTCCTTGGTTGAGTGCCTAAAACTAAGCAATTTGAAGTCTTCAATAGAAAACCTAGTACTTTAAAGGTATGCTAATTGCAAGTTATAAGTTAAACAGGGATATGGGAGAATGGAGATACTTTTACATATTGAAGGAAAGTGTGTTAAACCATTGCAATGTAGCCTTTTACACAATGCCATTTTCTTAAATGCAAATGACTCATCCTTTTTAGATTTACTATGAATAATAAGTAAGAGGTAACCTAGTAAAAAGTCAGTCAGAGTGCAAGAGAATTGGTTCCAAATGAGGCCTTTCCTCCCCCAAATGGACTGTCTTCTCTATTGATTACAGACGTAGCTTGAGTACAGATTTGGAGAAATGACTGGGAAAGAGGTGGGGGAGGCATTTAAAATGATCCTTTCATTTATTCAAAAATTCTGGGCAGGACGTCCACAATTACCTTTAGCTTCAGCACAACGGAGTTTCTAATTTTTGTAAACCTATTGATAAAGGAGCAAGTGCCTGTTATATATAGCAATTATATCCCTGCCCTAAGTTGATTAATATTAGAGTCTCCTTGAGGACAATCAAGCTTCTTTTTCTGCTTATTTGTATTCATTTGTCTTTATATGTGTTTGGAAATTAGAAACGAGAGACTTCTAGCACCCTTTGGATGAGACTGAGTAGCTACACTCCACAGAGCTGAGCTCTGAATGTGAATTCACATTACTAATAGTTATAGAATAATTTTACCATCTAGTAAAATAGTAATTAATCGATTCCTGTGGCATGTAGCATACCTCCTCCACTCTACTTAGTTATTAAAGTTAATATTATTATTAAGTGGGAACTTAAATTTTACCAAATAGATCAATTTAATATTTTCTACTAAATATATATTCTCTCAATGAAAAATATATAATCCTCAAACTTGATAGGCTTTGTTTTTCTTGCATAAAAATGATTAAGAAAATCCAATTTATTGTTCCTTAAGCTGGCTAGTGGCCCATCAGATATTTTTGTAAGCCTTTTTTTTTTTTTTTGTAAATCGCCCTAATGTGAATAATACATAAGAAAGATCAGGCTTTCTGCTCCCACAAAGAAACCTTATGCAAGGGCACTGTAAAGTCTTAACCAACTCAAAGGGACTTAACAACAACAACATAACTGGCTAGTAATATTGACATCAGAGAACATTGGAAACCTTTTTACAATTGATGAAACTGTGACTTGCCCAAGGCTACCTAGCTAGTTGGTAGAAGTAGGTCCCAGGACTATCTGCTTATTCCTGCTTGTTCTTCCTTTTTAGACTCCATCCCATAGCACATCAATTTGGCTCCGAATACAAAAGAGCAAACTTAGGCCTCTCTGATAGTTGTTATTCTATTAATCCTAATCATCAATGCAAACCCTGATCAAAAGTGATTTCTAAGTGATCTTGCTTGTATCTAGCCCCTATCATCCATTAACAGTATTGCCTGGAGTTACAGAACTCAGAGGTGTCTTGAGACCTTTACCTACTGAATCCCTAAACCACTTTATTTCTATTTCTTCAAATCTTAATGTTGTTAGATAAGAAATTAGAGTATACCTTTTATAAAAGACCTGTGTATGGAACTGAGTTTTATATGACCTGTGTCAGTGTCTCTCCAAAAGGGCAGATCTAATCACATGAAGCCAGGAAAGATGTACCTGAGCTGGTCTGGATGTGTTCCTTAATGGAGATGAAGGCGTTTTCAGTGCAAAGTAAACTTTTATGTAGTCTGACATTTTGATACAACATCCTGTTTCATTAAAATGTTTAATTTCTGACTAAGATGTAGATAGATCTTGAACATAGAGTACAGTTGTTTTAATATTGCAGTAAGCACTGGAAAACATTAATAGTGGCTTGTTTGTGTGTGTGTGTGTGTTTTCCAAAAGGCTCCGTAAGGGATATTTGGGATAGTTGTATTTTTGGTGCCACAATTTTTTATACTGGTGGCATATTTAAAGTTGCTTTATAGATGGATATAAAGAAAGAGAACTCAAAGCATTCAAGTTTAGAGCCAATTCAAAACAATTTTGACAAAGATGCAAGTTCTAGATAGCAAGCACTCTTTAAAGTAATTGTGCAATGACTTACTCAAATTAGTTTTGCTCAAGAAGATAAGTCATTAGACTATAAAATGTCCAATTAAAAAGACAAGTCACAAAATTAATCAGTTAGTGACTCTAAACCATAATTTACTTGATGAATTGTACATATAAAATTCTAATCACTTTTAATTCTTAAAATTTTATAATCTTTCTATTTTTCATGGCCCTTTTTTTAGTTATACAGAATTATTGTTATTGTTCAGTTCTTTCAACCTGATGTAAAAAATGCAGACATGACAAAACTTGTATAAAATGGCTCATACCAAGAAAGTAATTTTAAAATGATCATTTAAGAGTAGTACCAGTTAAGAAAAAGAAGCTTTATACGAGCACTATACAAATATATTTTAAATAAGGATTGAACTGAAATTAAAATTAAATGGATTCATAAAATTGCTATTTAGATATAGTATTTCTGTTTTGCAATTGGAGCATTATTCCACAACCAGCTTCTGCATTTCATTTCACCTTTATAGAGTAGACTCTTTCATTTGGAGTTAGTGGTGATGTGGAAAGCCATCTTCAGCTGCCTCCATCAATCTTCTCCATCTGTCTTTGAGCATGGTAAAGCACTTTGATCTTGCCATAAGTGTTGTTCTACACCACTAAGCTGTATTCACTGATGGGCAGGCTCAGCTCACCTGCTCTCCAATTGGGGAAAAGCAAGAAACTCCTCCCTGCCATCAGCAGGAACCAAATAAATTTAATCTTTACTATTTGAATCTGCTATTAATGGCCAATAAGCATAGTGATGTCTGAAGACGGAACAACCTTGACATTACATTTTATTAAAAAGAGAAAAGGCCCATGTGCTATTTGGAATATGATTTGGATCTCCCAGCCCCCTTTGGAGAGAGGAGATGAGGATGTTCTTAGATAAATGCAGCCACACATTTTCTGAATTCTTAGGCTGCAGGGTATACTGTGATGCACATAATGATTAGAAACTGGATTTCTCATTCATTTGATTCCTTGTACACATGCTGAAATTGAAATAGTTAAAATTCATGGGGGAAGTGTAATTTCCCAATGCTGTTAAAAAGATTTAGCAAATCAGTGACCTAATGTTACCAGTGCCTCTTGAAGGCCGTACATTAAACCATAGGTCAAAGAGAATGACAACTTGTTGCTAAGATAGTTGATGGCCTAATCAAATTGTAAATAGAACAGATTCGTGTTCTCAGCACCAACTCACGGGTGCCACATTTTTTCTTTTTCTTTTTGTTAGTTGTTAAGTTTTTTATTGTATTACTTATTTTATATCTCTTAAGTAACTAATAAATTTCATTTTGAAGGAGAGTTAGAGAAATGTTAAGTTTTTACTACATGTATTCAGCCTGCCACGTTATATTCTAAACTGACACTGAAGCATGGTAAGGTATAGATTATACTCCATAACTGTTCTTTACAGTTCACAGTTGAAGAACAAATTTAACTTTATATACAAATAATAATTGTTAACTAATTTTATTTAGTTGTTGCCTTGGCAACAAACCTACAACATGGCTACCTTTAGGCACATTTGTGTGTGTGTATGTGAAAATTGTACTTGTAAACTCTATGTGCATGTGACCGTATGCGTTCGTAGAAGATACAGCTCAAAACTCTCAACACAGATATGTTTGAATTTTTTTGAATCCCAGAGTCCCATGTGAAAGCTGAATTTGTGTCCTTGTGTGACTTTTCGGTCAAAAAGTTTACAACACATGGATTCTAGAGTCAGGTTTTATAGCTTATAGAATTTGTTGTGTGAATAGGGTTATTCCATAGTATTTAGACTTCAAACACAATTGTTGTACTTATAATACATTACCTGACCGTTCTCATGCATTTTTAAATTCAAGGTTACCCTAGTCTACTGGCATAGTGGTAGCTGCAAAAATTCTGTTTTCTGGAATGACATATTTACACCAGTATATCTAAATGAGGATTAAAGCATAATTAGGAATGAACTCATTATTTATAAGACCATACTTAAAG